TTGACTATAGATGATTTTAAGAATGATAAAATGAATTTTAGAAGTCTCTAGATATTTTATTTTCTCAAAACAGATTTCTAAATAGGTATGAATTTTCAGATATTTAATTATTCAAAGAGAAAAATAAAATATTAAAAATTTTCTAAAAATTCTGATATTAATTTTATAATAACTAAGACATACAAGGGCCCATTATTCTCCATGGGCTCCACAAAATTACAGAATGTCGGGAGGTGTGTGGTGCCTACTAGAGGCCCCATGGGTAGCACGCCCCACATAGGGCATATACTTTCTTATTGTGATGACATGCGAGATATGCCACTCAATCAATTGAATTGGAAAGGGAAGTTTTTTAAATAAAGTTTAATTGGCTTTTCAAAGAGGCATGTGTAAGAGTATGATGCAAATAAAAGGCATGTGTAAGAGTATGTGCAAGTATATTGAATTTTCTCTACACTATATATATGATGGGATTAGGTTAAGGAAACTGAGGGATAAGTTTCTAGCACCTTCCATTAGATCATAATGGTAGATCTATAGATTGTAAGGATAAGATCTATCAGCTGACAAGTCTCCTATGATCAATAGTCTAGATGTATTCTCCGTAAAGATGTCTAATCCTAGAAACCCTAACCTTAAGCATCAATCTATAAATAGTCTCATTGGGGAGTCCCATTCTCTACACGTAATTACATCTCTCACCCCCCTCAAAAGAAGCCTAACACCCCTCTCTCTCTAATCTATCTCATCTCTCTAGCCTCTCTCTAACACTTGGAAAAATTTAGAGAAAAAAAAGAGGGCAACGCCCCAACCATAGAGGCCAAAGGGGCACGCCCCTATACACAGTTTGAGGCTCGATTTGGCGATTAAAATCATGGGGTCTTTGAAGCTTTTTTAAAAATTTGCTATGCTATTGATTTCAACTTCAATTTGTAATCAAATGTCTTGAAATTTAGTACTATTTGGAGATAATCAAAACCTACACAGTATTTTATTGCTAATATGTTTGATTAAACTAGGATTCCACATCGATTATATGCTTCCAAATCCAATAAATTGAAAAGTTCCTGAACTTTTAACAATCAACGAAAAATCGAAGAAATCATTGGGCAATTTAGATGATTTGGATCAAATTTCAGTGGGGTTTTTGATCTACAGAGCTTTAGCTTTGATATAGAGCAAGTATGATTTAAGTGGGGTTTTTGATCTGCAGAGCTTAAGCTTTGACATAGAGCAAGTAGATTTCATTTTCATTTCATACTTTTTTTTCTACAAGTTTTTTTTTTTTTGCATGAAGGTAGCACAGATTAGGGTTTCTGCCATTTCAAACTGTTCTCCTCAAATTTGTATCAAATTTCTTGAAACTTGAATCAAAATGATCCTAATGAATCTTTTTCCATATTACAGATCCAATACAATGTATAGAAATCGAAAACAGCATGGATTTTGGGCCAAAATATGGACTTGTTTTTTCATATATTGAGAACTTGTTTTTTAAACAAACTTAATAAAAATTAATAATTTTATGAAGAAATTAGGGCTTTTGATGCATTTAGGTATTGATTAATACAATGCGTGATTCAATTTCTTTTATTTTTTTATTTCCTTTAATTTTATGTCATTATTCTTAATTTTTTAGGGAAGACCCTTTTTTAAGATTTTTTTTAAAGTGTCATAGCAAGGGGTTTTATTTTTTTATTTTATAACTTGGTAGTGTTTTTAATAGTTTGTTTTACATGTTTGATGAAATATTATAATATTATATTACATTATACATTCAATTTTTATTTATTTATTTATTTATCTCAAAACCACCTTATTATCTTATTAACCAAAGAGATACGACTTTGCACTATGGTTAGTTGAGCACTAATAAAGAATTCCCAAGGAATTCCAACAAATCGAATTCCCAAGGAATTCCAACAAATCCTGTTATGTGTTCGTTCCAGCCTTCAACCCTCTTTTCCAGGTTCATCGATATTGAATCAATCGAACGAACTTCTAACACTTGTTCAACTTTTGGAAGACCACACCAACAGAATTGAGTTTGAACATTAATTATTAGAAATACATAACTGGAAAAGACCTATACCCAGTGTTTCAAAAAATGCTAGGCGACACCTAGGTGACTGGGGGTGTCCAAGCCGCCCTGCGCCTAAGCGGACGTCCAGAACCTGGTCAGCCCAGTAGAAAGAAAAATGTATCTATTGTCTAAAAGTATAAGCATAATTGTATAATACAAAAGAGTTGGGGACTTAGGGCACATCAAATATATAGTACACAAGTCCACATAGCTCACACTCCTCTATACTCCATAAGTCCATAGTCTGATAGTCCACTAAATCTAATATCAATGGGTGATGCTTACATCAATTTCTCATAATTTTGAGAAACCACCAAAATTTTGATAGGCTCTAATGGGGTTTAGGATTCAAATGAACATAAAACCCACAATTTTTCCCCTTTAGTATTTAAAAAAAGACCAAAAAATGCTCTCAATGAGGGGCATTTCCGCCCCTAGGCAAGGCGCAACCCCTGGGCTGCCCAAGGGTTGGCACTGAGCACCCACCTATCCGAGCACCCAAGGACGACTCACCTAATTTGGCCGCCTAGGCCTAGGCGAGGTGCCCAAGCCTTCTGGACCAACTAAGCGGCCTAGGCATTGAGCAGTCCGTTTTAAAAACACTGTCTATACCAAAGGAACTCTAATGCTCTATCCATCATATTTATTATGAATAAATATTTGTTTTATCCACAAGGTAAGAGAGACACTTGCAACAAACAAAACCTTGAAGCTAAGACTATGAGATTTTGTTTTTTGTTCAACCTAAAAAAAAAAAAACAATGTTATTTTCATAACTTAGAATAGGTCATTCACCTTAAGGGTGTATTTCCATAAGGTTGCAACCTTGAACAATCCAACTAAGGTGGACCTTCAAATTTTATCATAATATATAATTTTGATGTAAAATGTTCTTAGAATTATCTCAAAATATATTTTTATATCTAATTATAAAATTTTAAATTCCAAATATAGTTAAAATCAAGTAGATCTTTAAACATATGAAAATCTTGAAAATGGACAGTGTAGATAATATATTATAAGATGCACTATTTTTGAGACTCAAAATCTTTTTATTTTTCATAGTCATACATCTCGATGTCGAGATGATCAATCACAGGGTTTTTCAACATTAAAATAACCATTTCCGATGGATTTTAGAGGTGCATCCGTAGTTCTACATTTTAAGGTTGCAACCTTATATAAACTTTTTCCTTCACCCTAATGACAACTTGCTGACTATCCCAAGGTTCTAGAAAGCTTACTCAACAATTCCTAGACTCAAGTTTAAGGAACCCCAAAATTCACAAATTTAGATTTGCACAGCATTGAGACTCCATTATTACAAGATTTTCCTTTATTTTTCTATAATCAGCATCTTTTTCATTCTTTCTCAAATTGCATAGAACGATAACGTCCATGTGTCACAAGTCATAACCAGGCATGGGGAGTGTCCATCCCACAAAGTTTAAATGAGAAAAAATCACCTGTTATCATCCTTTTGTACCTGAATCATCATGGTTCAATTATATTAAATCAATGAAAAAAAAAAGCTACAAGAAATATATCTAGAAGCCTAGGATCACATCTACTACAACCATCAAAGCTAAGCTCACCAGAACCCAGTTTAATATCAACCTGAACTTCGAGACTCTAATCCAAGGCTGGAAACCATTCCACACCCAAATATTCAACAATGATGGTGTTTGTGCATAAAGGTCATTGGAATCATTCCATGATCCACATCACAAACCACCAAGTGAGTACTCAAAATGAATATTATTTTGAACACAATTAAAATCCTAGAACTACTAAAGAGGTGTCACATATAGGATTACTACAGATAAATCTCCGAGTTGAGAACTGAAAACAGGTATACAATGCAGAAACTAGACCACCATGGGGTTTTTGTCTTTTCAAAAAGTTCAATATCTGGATGAGCATTTACAAGAGCAGCAAATCCAAAAATTTCAAAATACAAGATACTCCAAATAGTTTTAAGAAACTGTTTTTTTTTTATGAAATATAATTTTTCTCAATCATCCCATTATTAAACTCTAGTATGAAACAATAACTTTAGTTTTGTTTTTTTTCTCAACATCTAAATCTCAATTTTTTACAAAGCATATTAAAGAGGACAATCAGAAAGAATCACATTGCTAGCAGTAGCAGTAGTTAAACTTGTTTACCACGCATCACAGAATTGATTTACCAATGAGTTTTTTAGATCGAACAATCTCAAGGCTCAAATAATATAGTGGTGGCAACTTACACCTAAATAAGTATATACTCACACAGCCTAAATAACTCTGTTATACACCTAACTGCAACATAAGGACCTATGCATATCTAAAAATCATTGAGATGAGATTGCTACATACATATTTCAAAGATTAATAATAGCCACCATTCCCAACTACCGTGCTCAAATACAAGCTCTCCATTCTCATATTGGAGTCAACAGCAATCAACCCATTAATATGATCCTTACATGAACAGGTCAAGAAATGGATTTGCATAAATGAAAATTTGGTTTTTACACTTTTATTTAATTTTCAGCTTGGCAATCTAGTCTCAAGGCTTCAAGTACAATAATGCTATCATGAATAAGAATCGAGTTGAAATTTCGAAATAAAATAGCTTCCATCGCAAAGGGATAGCAAGGAGAATCCCATAAATTTCAAATCTTCAAGCGATTACCACAAAGTTTGTCTGACCAAAAAAAAACATTCCTGTTTATAGCGAACAAATGAAAGAGACACGAAGGAAAAAGAGAAAAATAAGAGAAAAGCCCTGAATTACAGAGAGCAATGATAAACACCTGGAAAAAGAAATATAAAATATTCCCCATTTCATCAAAAAAAAAAAAATAACACAAAAGAAAGAAGAAAAGGGAGAAAACCAATCCAAAGAGGAAGTATTTTAATATGGTACTCACTCTTTTGCGATGGCTAGAACGCCGTCAACGAATCTCTGCATCATGGAACCTGATGCGGGAAAACTCTTTGTCAGATAGAAACAACAAAAATGCTAGCAATTGATTGAAGAACCAATATGTATACACACCCAAAAAAAAAAAAGTAAGAGCTTTAAATTTTGGATAAACAGTATTTACAGGAGAGAGAATATATAGACACACACCAAAAAAAGTAAGAGCGTTCAATTTTGGATAAACATTATTTACAGGAGAGAGAGAGAGGGAGAGAGAGAAAGGGGTATTTACAGGGTGTACTGAAAGCGGTTGAAGGTAATACAAAATACACACATGGCGACCAACTGATGGAGGAAGTGTAGAGAGAGAATATTTTAGAGAGAGAAAGAGTTAGAAACGTGGGATTTTCTTCTTTTTTTTTGTTTTTGCCCGTGGTCGGTCGGTCGGTCGCGTAACGCAGGAAGGTTGTTTGAAAATGGAGGGAGGACTTACTTTGAGGTGAAGGCACCGCACCGCGATTGATTCGAAGGAAAATGATCCACGTTTTTGCAATATTATGAATGTGCGGTTTGGCCCGCACGGTAAGGGAAAGGGTCCCACTCACATATGGGCTTTTGAGTACTTGTGGCTTGGACACTAACACCTCTACTACTCCCTTCCCTCCCCCGACTTTTTTTTTTTTTATCTTACTTTTAAATGGAAGAAATTTATATAGAGGCGAGGCTCTTAACGATCAAATTATAATTTATCTCAAAAATTTCACTTGAGAGATTGTTTTGATGTTCAAATATCTTCAAGTTGATTATCTCGACATCAAGCTGTATGGGCATGAGAAAAAAAATGGATTTTAAGTGTTGGGAATAGTGCATTCTTGTAACGCATTTTTTAACCACCAATTTTAAAGTTTTTATAGATCCGTTCGATAAGCTTTAAATTTTGTAATTAAAGATAAAAATATATTTTAAAGCTATCACAAAGATTTCCAGTGTTGAAACCACGTTTCTTGATACTATTTGAGGCTGAGCTTTGCTTTTATTGTTTAGGGCCTCGACTCTGTACAAACCACACCCTTTATAGGTTAATTTAAAAATACCCCTAGGTGGATTTTCTAAAGAAAAAAATTATACAAGGCTGTAACCTTAACATGTAGAAGTAAATATGCGCCTCAAAAATCTATTGGAAAAAGGTACTTTAATATTGGAAAACCCTCTAATTGATCATCTCAACATCGAGCTATATGAATATGAAGAAAAAAAAAAAATTTTGTTTTGAAGCATATAAATAGTGCATCTTGTAGCACATTATCTAGAACGTCCATTTTTTAGATTTTTATATGTTTATAGATCTACTTGATTTTAACCTTTTTAAAATCTAAAAAATATTTATATTTGAAATTATTGGACATTATTAAGCTTTACATTTATTACACAACCCAATTTCTCATATTTTGAGAAAAGATAACAAGGATAATGGAGCCTTCAAATGGATTAACAATGTGAGTCAGCATGTACAAGAGCCGGTTGACTTGCCAAGATGAACATTCCATAACGTGCTGGACTAAAATAAATATCGATGGATTAGAAAATCCCTAAAAAGGGTACATTCTAATTTCTAAAAAATTATTTACTTTCCATATTCATGGTCACCTTGTTCTAGGTCATGAATCACTGAAAATTTGAATAAAAAATCCATATGAAAAAAGTACATATGACTCATAGAAACACCATCCTTGAGTTAATCTTCTCTTTGTGGAATGCAAAACAGGGAAAAATAATCACTCAGAGTAAGAGAAATACCAACAATGCACAACATAGACCTCCCTTTAGATTTGATTGTGCCATGGATGATTATTAAAAAATATGAATATATCTCATCCCTAAACCCAATCCATAAATTGAATGCCTTGAAGTCCAAAAGGTCATAATATATTGCATGTGAGAAATCAAAATAAAAAGACCTTGAAAATCTCATAACCGCATTGACTAAAAGAAATAAAATAAATGAAAGCACACACAGGATTCCTATAGCTCAGGCTCCTTGCAAAAGAAATCAAATTGTAATCTAAACTACTTGAGACATATTTTCAAATGGACAACTAGTTTATGATAGAAATAAAAATATATAATAAGCCACAGGAAATACACACAAAAAGAAATAGTACAGCCTGACCTACAAATCCCTTTGCAATACACACAAAAAGAAATAGTACAACCTGACCTACAAATCCCTTTGCAGTCAACTAATCCCCAATAAGATTGATCGAAATAGAAATAAGCCAGGTGAGATTACAAAAAAAATCGACTTTCAAGCATGTATATAGTAGAACATGAATTCAGTAGGAGAATGGTCTTTTGTGGACCATATTGAACAAATGATGTTTGCTGATACTAGACTGTGTTTGACGTGCTAGGTTGGTTTGATTGGAGAAAACCTATGTTACTTAGGCTGTGAGAATCGTACCGATGAGAGTTATATGGGTTATCCTTTGATGAGGTCGGAGTATGCCCGGATGAGTGAGCCGAGAGACTATGTAACTCTTGTATGTAATGGAGGCATTCAAAGTCGGGTCAAAGCCTCATCAATTGTACTACCACATGGCATGCACATCGATAGCTGTTTTTGAGAAATCGTACTTTCTTTTAGGGTGAAACGTGTGTATGTATGAGAGATACCCCCCATGTGCACCATCGAGCTATAAATTGCATCAAGTCAAGATGACATTGGGCTTCATCTTCAGGAGGAAACTGAAAATACATATACTAGAATTACGACCCATTGCCCATTGGCTAGACTTTGGTGACCCACTAATGATCCCCTTGCATAGACTGTGGGTCATGGGCAACGTTGGGTCGATTTGAGAAAGCATGTGTGGTTTGTAGTTCGTGGTTGGGCATGGAGTACCCGAGTGGATATTTATTCCTAGACCATATGGATCGTTTTTCCATCAAAGTTTTTAATTTCGTTTATTTTAATAACATATGATTTTTAGAATTGTTATTTGAATTTTTCAAAATCTCTGGATATTTTATTTATAAAATTTGGATTTATAAAACAAAAATATTAACTTGATAATAATTTAAATATTCAAATAATAATATTATATATTTTTAAAAAATATAAAAATAACATTATTGCATTGGGTCCATTACATACTCTGACTAGCTTTCATATATTTGGTATGTCGGTTTCGTAACGCAAGAGACGCTTGGTTTTTTTGAAAATGGAGGGAGGCCTTACTTTAATCCAAGGGAAAGCAACGGCAAATTAATTGGGATTGAAGGGGGCCCCCACTGATATATGGCGGTCGTTACGGAAACGTTCAACAAAAGGTTTTTATTTTTATTTTACTTTATTTTATTTTATTTTGAAATAGCTTTGGGCACTTCAACTGCTCGGGACTTAGTCCCGCGTACTTGAGATGGCCACTTTAACAAGCTTGGGTGCTCCACTTGGGATATCAAATTTCTATTTAAAAAATTCTAAAAAATAAAAACTTCATTTGCCATGTTTATTTACCATAATTTTAAAAAAGATTGGAAAGCGTTTTGACCATAAATGTTTAGGATGCAGTCCGTAGCTGTAGATGTAAAGTGTACCTTCAAATTTTGTCATGGTATATAATTTTGATCTAAAATATTTTT